AATCAGATACTAATTAAAATTTATTTATAATTTAATTAATTAAACATATTAAGGTCACAAATCTATATAATTTGGTCACAAATTAACGATTTAATTAGTCACATATTATTTTTAGGCCACAAATAAAAAAATTTATATGTCAAATTTTTTTACGATCACAATTCAAAAATTTTACAAGTCACAATTTGTTCATCGGTCACAAATCACCAATATTATAAGTCACATCTTACTAGAGAGTAGAATGTCACAATTTGTTCATCGATCACAAATCAAAAATTTATATGTCACGATTTATTTATCGGTCACAAATTACAAATATTATAAGTCACAAATTATCAAATTATCAGTCACAAATAATTTTTTTTTAAGTCACGTTATTTCTTGATCATAATTTATCTTTTTCATTGATCACAAATTAACCAATTTAATAGTCACAATTAACCAAATAATTTATAACCACAACCAACACTTGTGACATTCACCGCACCACTTCCTCCAGAAACACCACAGCTACCTTCATCGCCAGAACCACCATCACCGCCACCTCCCAACAACAACATCACAACCTCAACCAAATCAACACATCGTAGAAAAACCACCACCACATCGTCATGCCGTTCCACCACCACATCAACAGACTCATCACCACCAACACCACCACCACCACCACCACCACCCCTTTACCATTGTAGCCAACAACACAACCATCACAAGTTAACAAATTTATAGGTTTCAATTACTCAAATAATCGGTAACAGACGCTCTTCACCACTATCACCACCTACTACACTACCACAACCACCATAGTTGTCATTTGTAAACTGACTCCCAATTTGAAATTGCAAGCAGGGGCTTATAATTTCAAAAATTACACTAGAGGCCCTCGCCCAAAATCATTACCCAAACCCTAATTTCTCCCTTTTTCTCTATAGCCGCTGGCATCGTCGTTGTTTTGTTGTCATCGGGCAACGCTGCTAGGCAACTCTACAGTTTGCAGCGCTGGCAACTTTACCGTTTGCAGCCACCGAACGCTAGCGTTTGCGGTGCTGTTGTCAACACGAGTGCCGATTGCTGCAATCTTGCATCGCAACGTACATCGAAGCTTCAGCAGTGCTACGACGCAATGGTGGTGTCATCGTCGCTACGTAGCAGTGCTACGACGCAATGGTGCGAGTACCGCGATGAGTGCTACTCGGTCGTGATCTTCCGATGGTGGTCTTTTGACGACAATAATAATAGAAAAAAAAGGGAGAGAGGTAACCAGCCAGTGTAAGAGAAGGGAGAAGATGGAAGATGAAGAAAGCGAAAGAAAATGTTAGGATTTGGATTAAATTTGGTAATTAGGGATTGTGATGAATTTTGGTGGTATTAAAAATATTAAATATTTGAATTAATAT